AGGAAGAGATTGAGAAGACAACGGTGAGTAGTGAATTTATAGGAAATAATGGCAGACATGTATCTGCAAACAAGACTGAGTAAGAAGCTGAAATAAGAGTGGAGAACAGCCTGGTGGTTTGAAGTGAGAGGTAGTAAAAAGGTTGAGGGAGCTGGAATACGTGGAGTCGGACAGAAGCAAAATGCTTTAACAAAGGGACTCTGCCTAAATTGTAGGAGGGGAGGTAGGAAGAAGGAATAGCCAGCAAGTGAGAATCTAAGCCCAGTGTCCTAGTACAAAAATACCTTGTGAATGGGATAAACAAGAGAGGAGAGTGTTGATGGTGGCAGTGGGTGAAGGAGAGAATCACTGATGACTTTAAAATAGTGTTTTGGTAACAGGACAGTTGTCTTTTCTATTGACAGCCGCTGTGCTCTGTTCTTTTAAGGCGAATGGCAGTTAAGAGTGGCTGGTATGAGCGAAACTCTCCTCCTCCCTATAGAACCAGCTTGGCCCAGAGCCAGGGGTGGAAGAGGTCGGTCCCCCCTGGCACAGAGCCTGGCCCGAGTGAGCGCTTCTCTGTTGGTGGTTGTGATGTGGCAGTGCAAGGTGAAGCGTTGTGTTCCCGTGGTCTCTGGCCTCACTTCTCTTATATTGTCAGGGGGTTGGGGCTGGCTTGATTTTGTCTCTAGAGCCAGAATTGAGAAAAGCCTTAACGTTGTTTTCCGGTTCATCTCTTCAGACACAGGAGGTTTTGGGAGGTTTTTTTGAAAGCCTGGCTGATGGCTTATGCAAGATGTAACCCTAAGGAAAAGGAGTAGCTGGCAACATTTAGTTCCAATGAGTTGTACCATTCTGGGGGAAAAGAGGACCTCAGAGAAGTCACTGCTAATTCTATTTGTCTCTTGTATTGTCTGTATTGTTGGCTTTTCTGACTGCTTAGTTCATGCTCAGCAGTTCCTCTATATCTCTGCTCTGATTCTTCCATACTGCACCCTTGAGCATCATCTTCTCCCAGTATGGAACAGGATTTTGTCTTCTGCCCAACACGGTTGTAGTGCATCTGTGTGTATGTGTTGGGTGTGGATGCACAGACATGCATGCGTGTTGATCCCGTCCTCCTGTCATTGGCTGCTAAGACACAGAATCGGCAAAAGCTGAGGGACCGCTGCTGAGACAAGTGGCAGAACTGGCTGCTCTGCTCCCTTTCCACGTCCTAACCTGGATGAGAGGCTCAGAGGGAAGAGAGCGCAACATCTCGTGAGTGTAGCTGCATCCCCTGCCTTCCTCACAGCCTTCTGTACGCCTGAGGACTCTTCAGTTGTCTTCACTGAATCCAGTTTAAAAGGGACTTGACAAATTATTTTATACACACACTTTACTCAAGATCTGGGTGGCGGCTCTGTCAGTTGACAACTGAGTAAACTTGTTCTCTATTTTTTTGTGTCCAGTATCAATTCCTTACATTAAGAAGTCTTTTTGACAAAAAAACCCAAACCACCACACACTTGTGTTTTGGAAAGAGATGTTCTCTTATTGCATTCTTATAAAGAGATCACAATTACTAGATTTTAGTAGCTGTAACAGTGAGAAGGAGACTTGGCCCCAACCAGTTAAGGATCAAAAGCTTCACCTGCATTTTTTTTAAAGCTTTAGCAATAAATACGAGGGTGAAAAGGAGTCAGTTCAGACTGTCAAACCTTTCTGCACTCTTTAACATAGCTTGATATACTTGTGTTAAGAACACTTACTTATGGTAATGGTTTGACAGAATTTCCCTGCAGGTCAAGGTGGGCAGTTTTGAAAAAGTTCAAAGCAAGGAAGTTTTTTTTGTATGAGCCCCCATGTTGCTTGACTGATGATACAAAACCTCTCTTCTGATGTATGTTACTTTTCATTCTTCTCTCTCTTTTTTTTTTTTTTTTTTTTATTCAACTAGATCATCCTGAGCTATGGACACCGTAAATGGTACCGGATTTGGATAGATAATCACACAAACTGTCAGTGTGATCTCATTCTGCACCTGCACATCAAAACCAAATCAAATGAGCTTAAATCACCAAGTATTCTGTTTCTTTAATGCTGTGCAAAAACTAAGGTAACTTTTATCTACCCATCGTGATGCTGTACACCTATGCACTACCCAGGTATTTTTCTCAGGAAAAATGCAGTTGAGGTGGCAGTCTTAAAAGCAAACAAACCCAGCTCCCGCTTTGTCCCTTCTGTAAGGGTACCTTGACACATGTCCCTTCTCTTAATCCCCTGACAGCTTCCAAGAGACTGATGCAAATAACTGTGCCAGGCTTTGATTATGAGATATTGCACTGCCACTTATTCTCTTTGTCTCCTGCAGTTTACAGAGGCAGCTTCAGTGCATAATTTAATCCCTGTTCTGGGGACTGTAACAAATCCACAGAGATTTCTACCAACCGTCCTCTCTGGCATCAGAACAACATGTGCACAGCTGCTTTGATGTGAATTCCCCAACCAGAGCCTTAGAAGGACCTATAGCTTTGAAGCTGGCCTATAAATTGTGATTTCAGGAATCAAGTTGTCAGCCTCCTCTTCAGGGAGAAAGGGAGAGTAAACTGTAAAGCAGTTGCATAAAGCTACAGGGCAACTTAGAGATCTGGTTTTCTTGGCCTCGAAGAATTCCTGTACGATGTTGTTACCTGGCTGAGAAGCATCCTCTTTTGTGACTGCAGGACCTTGTGGGTGGTGGGGTTGTGATGGTACTTGTCTTGAGGGGGTCCCTATTTCAGGGCAAATGGAAGGGGAACAGGCACACGGGTGCTTTCGACCTGTTTAAGTGTTGTCACTCCCAAAGCCAAATGCTGATAATGCACCTGCGTTGACCTTTGTGTAGGTCATTTTTCAGTGTTGTTTAAAAACAGATTAAAAGTTTTACCAGGTGTGATGGTTGTTCTGTGATAGATCTAACTTTCATCAGGTGTTTCCTGGGACATGTTGAAGTACAGGCAGACTTCTGCCTTTCTATTGAGATGGAAATAAGCTGGTCTTTGAGGAATTTCAGTGGCCAAATCTTGTTTGAAAAGACAAATGCAGTTGCCATCTTTGTCATTCAGTGTCTGCTGACATCTCTGGGGGCTCCTTCCATAGCAATCCAAAAAGGCAAAGATCTGTCTAGAGTCAGCCAAGACACCAACCTTCATTTTTCCTGTGTTCTCTGTCTCCTATGAGAGATGAAACATTTCTGCTACTATCCGTGCCACTACTGCTGATGCTATTGTACCAAATGTGGCTAAAACTGACTCCTGAATTAAAACATTTACTGCACCATCAACACTGAACTACATCAGCCTTTCTCAGTTCGTATGGAGAAGCTTCTTAGACAGGCTGCTTTGTAGAGGAATCTGCAGGTTCTTAACAGTATGTTTATAAATGTTACACAGAAACAGACATGATTGTGTAGAACTCTTCCTATTTTGAGAGACGAGTCTTAGGTCAGCATCAGAAATGAGTTATACCAAGCCTCGTCAGATGTTCACAATATTACGTGTTGTACTTTTGGAGAAATAGAAGTTGTGTTGGTTTTTTTTTTCCTGGTTAGACCAGAATTTCAGTTTCATTTCAGTGTATTTTTTTATCCTTGTGTGGCCTATTTATTTATATTCAGAATCAATGGCCAAATCTGTTTTACAAGGCAGGAGGCTGTAATCAATTCAGGGCAGAGCGGAGTGGCAGAGCCCTTGATGGTGCTTGTTCTGGCAGCCTGCTCTGTCGGCAGAGACCCATGCAGGACCCGACAGCTGGATCTGCTTTTCCAGGTTGGGTGCACTGTGGAGGAAAGCCCTCAGGTGAGGTTTTACCGAGCCCTTCATTTAAGGCTAGTGGGAAAGCTGCAGGGCCCTCTGCTTGGCAGGGTGGATCTATAGCAACAGAGTCTATCACCTTCTGAAAGCGAGTCTCTGTTTCGATGCGTGCTGGTGGGCAAGGCCAGAGATCTACATGGATGCTGAGCAGCTGCGGAAGAAAAGGTGAGAGCAACACTAGCTTCGATGCTGGAACAGAGAAGGCAGAGAGGTCTGCAGCATTTTGCAGCCCGTGCCTTCATTTTGTAATTGCACTCAAGGCAATAAGCAGGCAGCAGCCACATCTGAAAGCATTTAACAGTGAAATGTTGGTTTAAGGGTAGCTAGAGTGTCTAAATAGGAAAAAAACTGGTATCAGTCTACCTATTAGGAAAGTTAATCAGTTGATCTTTAGGGGAGGGACTCTATCTCTTTGTAGAGATAGAGCAGCTTTCAGAAGTCATGGTGAGGTTTTCTTTCTTCACTATGTACAAGTAACTTTAATTTTTGTCTATGTATTACAAGCTTGCGGTATTGGGAAAACAAAAAAACGCATACAAAGCAAATATGAATCACTGACTGTTAGTGGCTGCTGTAATGTTGTTCTTAAAGCTGAATGACTTTGAAAAATGTTGTATTACATAGTACAGTAAAACAGATTAATCAAAATCTACACTCAGTGTTTATTTACAATCATTACTTTTATTTTTTCCATAACGTAACTTACTCCAAGTCCTCTCCCCATAACTGATGCTGCAATGTTTACGTCCAGTAAACCTATACAATGATAGTACATACTGCTGCTTTCATGTAAGCCAACCGGCTTGCAAATGTTGTCTGCATATCATAAATTGTATGATTTGGTAGATTCTCCACAGGCATCTGTTTCCTGAGACACTGTTGTGGCAGAAAGGGGCTGTACTAGAGGTGTAGATCAGATCTTCTGTTCTCCCAGCAAGGACAGGCGGTTGATCTGTCTGATGCACTAAGAGGAAATGAAGTCTAAAAAGTTCTGTTACTTTAATTATTTGAATACAGTAAACTATAATTTTGCAGAGGAATGGATGTACTTAATTCTTGCTGGAAGGAGTTACTGGAACTCCTGACTCTTTAAGCACATCAGCTTCACTTGAGAGGTACAACCTTTGTGTGATAATTGACTTAGACCTCCAAGTGATGCGTGTATGGGAAGAAAAGGAAGGACGTGTGTACTTAACTCTGTATTCTATATTTAAAAAAGCTAAATGATTTGTATATCCTTTTCATTATCAAAGTACATTTTCTCTTTCGAAGTAAACTGGTTTCTTCAGGAGGAGTTATTTTTAATAACAGCTCAGTGCTATAACCAGGAGCCAGGAACTCAAAAGTCACTCTTTTCTACTGGAAGGTATAAAGAACTACAGTTTACCCCCTTCATCCCTTCATTATAAAGCCAAAAGCCATCTTAGAGCCTTCTGTTGTATTATGTGTTTCTAAAACATCTCCTTCCGTGCAACTGCTGTAGGACTTGAGTGATTAACACTGTCACAAAAGTGATTCCTCCTCTTAGCCCTGTCACCACTAGCATCTATAGACAAAATCATTGTTTAAAGCTCTAGTACATCACAGAATAGTGCCGATATTGGTATTTTACAACTAATGCAACATCCAGTAAGTCACATGTAATCTTAATAGTTAAAAATTCAAGACTGGGGTGGTAACAAAAGAAACCACTAACACGAAGTTTCCTTATCTGGCATGGAATAAGGGGAAGGACAGTTTAGATAACATTGTACAGATTGGGCAGGAACAAAAAGAATTTATTTCTCCATCCAGTATTTTATACACTTTACAAAAACCAGTAATATCACTGTGCCCATAAAAACGTTATCCATGGCAACTGAAAGCAAATACTACTTTTTGTCATCTAACGGGGATTTTTAAAATCATAATACAAAGATTTGTGCTGTAGCAGTCCTCCACTTTGCACTGTAACAATAAGGCTTACTGTACTTTAAATACAAAGCTGTTACATCTGCAGTTATGAGCCACTGGCTTTAACAAACATCATTTTATAGTTGCTTTTTGCTTCTTTTTTATTTTCTGGAACCTCAGCTTCATCATGTTTCTCAGCAGCTTGTAGCTCCTCTGCAGACTCCTCTTGCTCAGACTCAGAGCCACTTTCAGAGTCCTCTGAACTCTCTTCAGAGGAGTGTCCTGCTGCCTCTTCCTGTTCTTCACCTTCCTGAAACTAGAAGTTCAGAGTATGAGACAGATAAACCATTATTTCCTGGCCACTCCATTGCAGCTTATATGATTTCCCAGCAAGAACGTTTTGCTTAATGGCTCCTTTCATTTTAGTACTAAATGTTTAGCAACATCATAGCATGTTGCTAAACACAGGTCTTTAATATACCAGTTAATAGACACAAAGCAACTCCACTGAAGTGGTTAACCGTACCAACTGTGACATCCATGGTTTCACGAGCCACATTCTTATTTAGTTGCAGCAGAAATCCAAAAGACACCATTAAATGAGTTTGAGAAGTTTCAGATCACATCAGTTTAAGTAATTCCTTACTTTGGTGTACACAGTATATCACGACACTTGAATATTTGTCACGGAGTGAAACACAATGAAACTAATGGCTAGATCATCAAGAATCCATACTCATGACTAATCTTTGAAAATAAGTTTAGCACACCGCAGCGTGAGGAATGCTGAAGTAATCCAACGATACTGCTAAGAAGAAAAATCAAAATGGAAATTTGTTTATGCTCCTAAAAAGCAAAGCCTCCATGGCTGTAATATTAAGAATTCCCAGCACTGCACAGGTGGTTTTACTCGCTCTGGAAACATCAGCTATGTTTTCATGCAGTAATTGCTGCTACCAGCAAAAAATTAATTATTGTACCTTTCAATTGGCAGATAAAGACACGTTCCTAATAACGTAATTCTCTTGGGTTTTGTCACACTTCTCCTCCTGCTCATTCCTATGGATGGCCACCACAGTGTACACAAATAGGGGCCAAGTGCCTGCACTAAGTTTGTCCTTTAACCCAAATGGCGGAAGTTTGCCACTAGTTGTGGTGACTTGATTTTTAAACCATGCACATTTTGTCCTAGCAAAGTGAAAGCCAAATCATGATGGAAGTGAACAGCTTACTACCTCACTGAAACCGAGTCCACAGTGGCGCCGGTTTCGTCCGGACATCGTGCTGTCCATGCTCTGTTGGTACTGAGACTCCAGTTCTTCATTCATTTTCTTGTCTTCTTCCCCTGCATTGTCCAGTGTACTTTGGTTATGGTTCATTCAAATTAACAAAGACATCAAATTACATGAAGTCATATTTTCAAAGTTTATCACTATATATGTGAGAAAGGTTAATTTTAGCCATCTTAAACCACTAGATTGAGTATTATTGCATACAAACCATCAGATTTATAAGCAATCATATCAAGTGCGCAAGCAAAGTTGCTTTGATACAAAGATGGGTTGGTAAGTTCCTAAGACCTGACGCATTCAGACAGTTGTACTACGCGCGGTGTATGCTCTGCTAAACAAGGTAAATGTAACCAGTCCGACTTCTCTGTGCTGCCTGCCAATACTGCAACATGTCACAGCAAGCAGAAAGTTTCTGACCTTCACTGCGTAACATGCAATTACTATGATTAAACCATAATTAATATATAGCAGCAGTAAGTCCAGACAATACTACCGCTCTTGCTTTTAGAGCTGTATCTGAAACTATTTCATGCACCCTGAATTATCAGGAGCAGTTCCTACTGCTCTACGTTTTTCCATCTTTAGGAATTAGCAGAAAAACTAGTTTTCATGAGCTACTTCTACATGCCCTTTACTTACTTGTTCAAGTAAGTACATAAAGAATAATTTTTACTGAGGAAAAATACGGTCTAAAATAGTTAAGAATCCTCTGTTCTTGTGAAAGGTAGGAATTGCTAATTCTCCCCCGATAGGCCTACAACACTCTAGTTTTTAATTTGTATCTCTGTAAAATTAAAAGTTTGTATTGCAAACTAATGCTTCCTCATTTGGAAGTTAAAGCTGTATGTTATTATAAAAGGACAATAACTGTATGTTGGACAAGGCAGTAAAGTGTTAAGAAAATAGTTGTTCTATGTGAAAAAAAAACAGCATCTTAATTTTTTTGCTAATAACAAAGCAGTAGTGATTCTTTATGAGTCCTTAGGGGAAGCATCACCTCCTTTCTAGGAAATTCAGGTATAAGGAAGTGATTCTTAGTCACTCTGCAAGCTAACTGCCGCCCCTGGAACCAATCCTCAGGCTTCTTTTGGTGTTTTGGTCCACAGATCATTTTTTGTCAACTGAAAAATTACTAGTGTAGCATATCAGGGAAAGAAGTTTTCTGGAACTCTGACAGTTGCTACTCTATACAGCTTTGTCAAAGCTTCTCTCAGTCAGTCAAGCCCAGCTTGGTTTCGACGTACTTTGACTTACCACCTGAGCAAGCCTGATAAGAAGTTACCGTGGTCATACTTTACATTACATCACATTATTGCTGATTGCCAAAGTGACCTTGGCGATCTTTTCAGCTTCTACCTCACTGCTTTAAGGCAGAGATCTTTCTATTCAATAAGTAATCAGGTGGGGGGAGAAATCAACCCTGTTCTTTTCCATGCACACTGACTTAGAGGTTTGGATATCCATACCTGGCAGCAAGGAAGAAGTATAATACTGCTAAGTACCAACAGCAATAAAACTTTGCTTTCTTATTTGTATAGCTAAATAAGACTGAGGACCTATAGGCCCTGATTTCCAGGGCATTTGTACCCGAGTTTAATTGACCATCAAGGACTTTGCTGAATCTGGACTTTAGAAGGCAAGTAAGTGCAGTCAGAGAAACTGTTTGTCAGTAATCTAACAGGAGAAATTAGGAACTTCTACAAATCTGCAGTCTGACTAGTCTTCAACTTCAGCCACAAAACCTGAAATCCCTCCCTGCAACACCTATGAAGCTCAAAGTACTGGGATGTTCCTAAATAAGTGTTTGATTTCCAACTTTGTATCAGCTGTGGGATAAACTGACCTGTCCTGAAGTGAGAGGTTGATCTGTGGTCTCCGATAACAAGGCGGCCAGTATGTTCTTTCTAAAAGAAAAGGCAGTTTGTTTTGGAGCTTTAGGGTGCACTGACAGCTCTGCCAACATTCTGGAAATCTTAAATGGAAAAGGTTTGCTGTCAAACCTTGACAACCAACTGTAAGTATTATTAGCTAACAACTGCTGCCTCTTGATCATCTTTGTTTCCCTGAATTTTCTGAAAAAGAAAACCCAACAACTAGGTAGTCTTTACTGTTCCCACACCCCAAACCTGGTTCTGTTTCATTCTGTTTCTTGCCATTCCAAAGACGAAGATAAGCCATGCTAGTATGTCGGCTAAACGAGGAAGAATGGTGACCCCCTGATATGAAAACTACACTACACAATGCTGGACAAGTGTGAATTTAGGTTCTAACAATTTACCCTTTAGGTCTCTTTCTCTGGCATTATGCAATAGTTCAGCCTGTGCATCTTATGATGATGATCCCACTTTTTGGACCGGTCACAGTATCAGGTAAGACCTTCACAGTGCTCATTAATGTACTGCCTCTGTAGTTGCTCATTAGCAAACGTATCCCTACAGGCAAGAACTGGCATTACATAGCAAGCAGCATTAAGTATCCAAGTAGATGTTAAGATTAGTGGTAGTGGGATGTTTTCATAGGGTATTGTATTCCTATCCACTAGGAAGTATTAACTTTCACCTCTTTAATACAGTAAACTATCTTAGCTTACAAAAATACTGTATTCAAGCAAAATAACCTAGTACAAGTGAAATTATTTTTCTTGAAGATACATAGAATTGCAATACTAAAACATTGTTTTGTACATGGAAAAACCACGATTATATTTTACTAGTTTTGCAGCATTTTTTGCAAAAAGCGTAGTAGGAATATTGTTTTAGAGCATATTACCTTTAAAAGTATTTCCCGGATTATTTAATTAGGTTTACTATTTTCCTGTTTCAGTCTATCAGCTACCTGCCCCCCTCCCTCCCCCCCGAAGGAGAGAGAACTTTACAGACCTAGTGCACGGGTTTGTTAGTTTGTAACAAGGACTCTCTCCGAAGTGTCCACGCAGAATGTTATTAGCCGGTCTGAACGTGTAAAGGTGGGGGGCGGGGAAGAAGCTGCGCAGCGGAGACTTGACAATTTCAAACTGATGTTTTGCATTACACGGACATAACAGCTGCGGCTCTGAAACCCCAAATCCTCCTTTAAGGAGAGTCCCAAAGCCAAATTGCCTTTCAGCGTTGTCTTTTTTCCTCAGAGCGCCCCGCGGCCTGCAGCAAAGCCCCTTCTGGGGAAGTTTCGGGCATCGCAAATAGAAAACCCCGCGCAGCCGCTGGGGGTGGGAGTGGGGTGTTCCTCCCGCTCGGGTCCCCGTGTGCCCG